AGTATTGCATTGAAATGCTCTTTAGAAAGTGTCATGCAAGGGATTTCAGTACGATAACACTATAAAACCCACTTGCCCCATCATCCATTATAGAAAATGGTTGTCCCACCATCCGTTATAAAACCCAGTTGTCCCACCATCCGTCGACCATATGACCTTGGCATTTACTAACAAATCTTGGTGCACCCCGGTGATGATGACACCTTAATAGTTTTAGCCATAACTGTTTAACGGTTCTATTGTACTGTAAATACGTATCTACATATCGTTACACAATAAAAGGTCGATTAGACAATACCGCGGTTATAACATAGACAAAAGCCATTTTAAAGCAACAGTTACTCCGGCACGTGCAACAGACGCGCATAAGATTGTTCTCTAGAACGTGCGTCATAATCAAAGATATGGCGAGACCTTCACGATACTAATCAGTACCTGAATCGGAATCCACACTGCCATCATAACTTTACACTTCGTACCAGCACGCGAGCGTTTTATGAGGAAAAGGAGAGTGAAAACAGAACATTATAACGAACTGCTTGTTATTTTGTGTAGTTTCGGGTTTTTTTTTCTGGTAAACAAACGTGTACGGATTCTAATAGTAAAAATAGAACAGTTTTACACACATACTACAATATATTATAGGTTCCCAAAAAATAAGAATACCAACAAAAATCCAGAAGTTATATATATTTTAATGACGTTAATGTTTCCAATATTACCGGGTATAATGTGGTGTATAATGCCACTTTCCCCTTGCTGTTTGTCCACCCTCCACTTCGTGTACCTAATCCACATGTTTTGATAAGAACGTTTCGGAAATGCACATCTACATTATAAAACACATTAACATGTCGTTGTAGTAGGTAAATGAGTTTGTAGGTTAACACCTGCGGATTCTCTCCGAGTCTGTGTAGTTACATATGACGTCATTCATTAACTAGTCACATAAGAGACACGTCAGTTAGGGGGGAACTACAGAGGTAGCCCTCGAAAACCATGAATGGGGAAAAACAAAATTAAACACGAATGAAAGTTTGGAGGAAATTTATAGAATAGAATAAGACACTAAATGTAGGATGACTAAGTAAATGAATTGCCATTGTACAATAAAACCCCGCAGAACAAATATTGTGTTCAAATCTGTGATAGCTACACTAAGCCTGTTTCGTCAAACCTGCTACCTTTCTAGATTTGTGTAGCAAAGCAGCACTGTTTCGTTTTCAAACTTGACACTTCGCCTGTCGGGTTTGTTTGTCTTATCATTTACTTGTCACGTGATCGATGTCTACTTATAACAGCGATATCATAGACCACACGCAAGTGCATCTCTGACGAATATCTTCCTGTATGTATGTAACATGTCGAGATAAAAAAGAGTGATTGAAATAGATCTCATCACATAACTTGTTTGCAGTGTCATGTCATACGGCCATGTCATGAATATCGTATCCGATACATGTCTCATAACACTATTATGACGTCATAAAAAAGCAAGTCAAGTCTTGATGGCGTTACAGTCTCAGTTGTGAAAAAATAATGATAAAAAAACCCGCTTCGAAATAAGCCTGTATTAAATGGAAATCAATTTGAATTTTCATCGATTATTTCAGAAATACGGTTTATATGATAAATAAAGTCTTGTACTTGTGCCGATGTCATATTCGGTGAATAATATGAGACTTACCAAGACTCATGACATATAAAATTATTGAACTCATGTAACACATGCCATTTTATATCAACACTCCTGTAGGATCCTCTATACTATTTATACAAATCATACAGAAAACTTAGCCGTTTACTTTTTTAATGTATTTTATCAACTCATATTTTTGATACTGCTTCCGGTGGTGAAAAGTGCGTGCGCAGTCGTGCTCCAAGCTGTCCAATAAAAGCATTACCAGATAGCTGATACCTGAAGATATCTGTAATGATGAACATCGCTGCTTGGTTATGTTGGAATTCGGACCAATCGTTTCTATATCTGAGTAGATAAAATTCGATATATGCCCGTGCCAATACTCCAATCAACCTGTCAGTGAGCTGTTAAAGGGTTGAAGGCTAGTGTAGACAATCGACCCGGTCAGAAAGATTCCTTACTGAAATCGACGATTGCACATACTTAAACTGACATGTACAATTTAAAACCCATCCATCAATTACTCGAATCACAGAAAACATGCATCCGAACAGCTCTAATAGGGCTACTAATTATAGAAACGAAACAATCCGTTTTCTGACGAGTGTAAGACTACCGGGTTTCGCAAAATCAACTTTTCCTTCACACAGTATGATGCCACAGTGAAACTGTTACAGGGATCTTATCGATAAACAATGTGAATGGATTGGTTTTGTTTTTGTTAGTTAGTTTGTTTGTTTTTTTGTGAATTAAAATTCACTCAGGCGAACACGTGTAACATCACGTGACGTGACATCATTACACGAAATATTGATGACGTTAATACAGTGACGGGACAAATCAAACAGTTGTTTCCGTAATTTTTCGGAAGTAAACTTGTCTTTTTCATTGTAATATCAAGCTAATAAGGACGAAGACATTTAAAAATGGATAAATACACGACCATATTTCGTCGTATAAATTCTACTCTTGAACAGGAATTATTCAAAACATAAAATATGTAGATGTTCTTTTTATTCAAAACAAGATCAAGGTTCAAGATACCACAAGGTTTTATCGGATAAAGATAATAAATCCTCGTATTTTTACTACCAAGAACAACGATAACTCCCAAAACAATCATCAAAACCGGAAGTTGGCTAGAATCCATCTCTACGGATCATTTCTATCAATGATTGGAATAATAAAACCTAGTTATCTTTGTGTGACTGATAACTATTTACCGTATACTCAATAAAACAGGCGCCGATATGGACTGTCCGTATATTACTTATAATAATACATGTGACTTACCAGTTGCCACACAGACCAGACCGCTTAGACTAATGGGCTAAAATATCCTCACAGTGTGAAACTTACACGAAGATGTATCAAAGAGAATCATATTTCACTGCTGGAAATAGAATTACCCAATTTTTCTATTATCTACCGACATTATCTGCTTAGTTTAAATCTTCTCCTTTCCTAGTTAAAACCTTTCTAATCAGTGGCACAGGACAGGGAGATCGCGTGCCATTTCCCACGAGTTCCTATATAAACCTGTTTTATAACAGATATTTTTCTAGCCACAGTAAACGACCTTGTCAAAAAAAAACCCCAGTTTAACAACGGTAGGTATATCGTCACATCAACAATAACAGGTAGAATAATATCAAAATTAGAAGACAACGAGCTGACGGACAACAATAGAATTATATATAATTAATGGAATTGAAATATTTTACGATACACCAGAATAAACTATAAAATTGAAGAATACATATACCCCGTAACTGATATACCACCCAGTACTTCGTGTAGACCCTGTAGCAGAATTAAAACCCCAGTACCTTGTGTAGACCCCGTATCGGAATTAAACCTAGTACCTATTATAGGCTCCGTAACAGGATTACAACCTAGTAACCCGTATAGAACACGTAACAGGATTACAACCCAGTACCCCTTATAGGCCCCGTAACAGGATTACAACCTAGTACTCCTTATAGACCCCGTAACAGGATTACAACCCAGTACCCCTTATAGACCCCGTAACAGGATTACAACCTAGTATACCTTATAGGCCCCGTAACAGGATCACAACCCAGTACTCCTTATAGGCCCCGTAACAGGATTACAACCTAGTACACCTTATAGACCCCGTAACAGGATCACAACCCAGTACTCCTTATAGGCCCCGTAACAGGATTACAACCTAGTACCCCTTATAGGCCACTTAACAGAATTACAACCTAGTACCCATTATAGGCCACGTAACAAGATTACAACCTAGTACCCCTTATAGGCCCCGTAACAGGATTACAACCCAGTACCCCTTATAGGCCACGTAACAGGATTACAACCTAGTACCCCTTATAGACCCCGTAACAGGATTACAACCCAGTACCCCTTATAGACCCCGTAACAGGATTACAACCCAGTACCCCTTATAGACTCCGTAACAGAAATACAACCCAGTAGTCCGTGCAGGCCCCGTATCAGAATTACAATGTACAATCCAGTCCCAACATCCCTGTATAGATCAGGGTGTACATGTATAGAATACACAGAATCTAATGTCATGCTTGTGAGGTCAACAGCAGAAAAACAATTTTGTCATTTAAGATAAATGTGACATTGTCTTGAAATTAACCATTTAAAGGAATCTTAAGGAGGCGCCTTCAACAAGAAATTCTAATTTAAGTTTGAGTGTTTTTGAAGTAAGCGTACACAAATAATTTGTCTTCCTCGTCTCCCTATTGTAACATATCACAAGGAAGCTTCGCACGACGTTTGAGTTTGATGGAGCAATAGGAATTCATCGCACAAAACTGATTGTTAGGACGGCTACAACGATTACGACGACCCACCATACCTTTGCATGTTGACAATATGAAAGCGCTAATGCTTGAATCTACCTGTTCTTCAAGTTGATTTTTATGTATATTTCTGTTTTATCATGGTGATATGCGTCGTTATTCGAAATACAGGGATGACCTTGCAATAACGTTCGCATTCTGTTCATAACCAAACACAGCATGTAAAACAAAACTAGAACAGGTTAACTTAAAACTGTTGGGAAAAGATGGTAGAAATAGAAAATAATAGGTAAGTCAACCAACAACAAGGTCAAAGGTCGTCTGTTTTGTGGATAGATCTAAACCAGGAGTTGTGACGCAGGAAAAGTCAGGAATTTCATAGAATATGGTTTGAACACTCAAGGGAGGACAACATCGGGAAGGAAATCGTGGGCAATTTCATCAAAACTCATTTCCCAGTTTCACACGGGAGTCTAGGCGTAACGATATCGCCAAGGTACAAAAGGCTTGGAAAGCACAAGGATATCCGGATTACTTCACTCCACGCGGTCAAGCATACTTACACTGACCGGAGGCTTTCTAGTGTTATCAACCAGGGGTGGTCGCCCAACAGGACTTCTAGGTCCAACACTTGAGCTAACACGGGCACTGCCGGAACTGGGTACGTGAACACTAGTGCTATTACGGGCACGTGGAACAGCTAGAAGAGTAGCTACGTCAGTTCCGGCCCGGACTCCACCATAACTAGGACCACTACCCGCTATACTTTTACTGCCGTAAGATGCAGCGCTACTATACCCGGTACTGGACTGGTACCCTCCACTGGGAGTTTTAGGGGTTAGTCCTGACTGGAGAGACCCTGTTCTAGATGGTCCAGCTCCGAAACCTGACACACGTCCACCAGCTGAAACTGATCGGTTAGTAGGACCGGAAGAAGAAAGACTAAGGCTACCTGGACGTGCTTTGGCGGAAGTAGAGGCACCATGAATGCTGGGACGTGAAGAACTGACAGAGTAACTTCGACGACGCTAGACAAAATAAACAGTACATTTTGATAAATTACAGCCCGCGGTGCCAATCGCCAAGATATTATGCAACGCAACAGGATTCTTGGAATGTGGTGCAATATTTTCGAACAGTAGCTTATGTTTCAAAATAAAATTAAGATGCACATGTTAAATTACAGGGCCTAGCGCCATTAAAAATAACGTGTGTTTACCATTCTATAGGTGATCCCGATCTAGATGGCGTCGTGTTAGTGAACACTGTGGTGACAATATCCGCTGGACGGATGTGCTCCTGGAAAGTACCTAAACAAACACTAGAAGGGTACCAAAAGTTTTGAAGATGGAACACATTAAAAAGCAAACTTAAAGTCATTATACTCGCGGATTGTCTATAAACAGAGGAACTTTTTCAATCGACTAGACAAAATAATAAAAGCATGCTTGTATAGTGGAAATTCATGTTGCTGTTTCGAGCCTCAAAGAAACTTTGAGGTCCATGTGTATTATAAGAGATTACACGGAAGAGTTCACGTGCTTACCAGTGGGGGTGGATCTTCAATAACATATACATCATCACAGAACAGATCAAGTACCTTTTTCAAAGATTTTGGTTATAACTGTACTGACTGACCCCGCGAGCTTACACTAATGGCAAGTATGTGAGGACAGATATAAACAAACCGGAGCGTCAGACGGTTAGACAAACTCCGAGTTTATAGACTATTAAAGTGTACGACTTTGTCTTTCGTCGATTGTTTAAAACTTGTTACGTTATTTATTTTTATATCGGTCGATGCAATTTAAGTGAACAAATTGAGTATACATTGAAAACTTTTACTGGTGTCAATTCTTACCATTTGTCTGTGTTTTTTTGACAAGATTCTTACTGCAGTACGTTACAATATGCTAGATGTATACTAATGTACTATACAATTATATATACCATGGAAACATGGACCTAGAAATTGTGTTACATTGGCGAACCATATGTACATTAAGACCACGTGAACCATATGTACATTAAGACCACGTGAACAATATGTACATTAAGGTCACGTGAACCATTTGTACATTAAGACCACGTGAACCATATGTACATTAAGATCACGTGAACCATATGAACATTAAGACCACGTGAACCATATGTAAATTAAGACCACGTGAACCATATGTACATTAAGACCACGTGAACCATATGTACATTAAGATCACGTGAACCATATGAACATTAAGACCACGTGAACCATATGTAAATTAAGACCACGTGAACCATATGTACATTAAGACCACGTGAACCATATGTACATTAAGATCACGTGAACCATATGAACATTAAGATCACGTGAACCATATGTACATTAAGACCACGTGAACAATATATACATTAAGGTCACGTGAACCATATGTACATTAAGACCACGTGAACCATATGTAGATTAAGATTACCGTATGTCTATCACACCTGACCATGTGAAGTGAACGTCTACCACACCTGATCATGTGTAATGGATGTCTACCACACCTGGCCATATGTAGTGAATGTCTACCACACTTGACCATGTGAAGTGAACGTCTACCACACCAGGCCATGTGAAGTGAACGTCTACCACACCTGATCATGTGTAGTGAATGTCTACCACACCCGGCCATGTGTAGTGAATGTCTACCACACTTGACTATGTGAAGTGAACGTCTACCACACTTGACCATGTGAAGTGAACGTCTACCACACCTGGCCACGTGTAGTGAACTTCTACCACACTTGACCATGTGAAGTGAACGTCTACCACACCTGATCATGTGTAATGGATGTCTACCACACCTGGCCATGTGTAGTTAACGTCTACCACACTTGACCATGTGTAATGGATGTCTACCACACTTGACCATGTGAAGTGAACGTCTGCCACACCTGGCCATGTGTAGTGAATGTCTACCACACTCGACCAGGTGTAAGATGTTGGTGTACGACACAATTGTTCTGAATGACTCGACAGCCTAAACTTCATGCACGAGGAGAGATTGGATCCACGTGTGAACATTCTATCGTTATGACCATGTACTTGGTAACATGACGGAGAAACGGGTAGATAAGATACACAGAAAGAACAAAACGGCCAGGCCAGAATGTGTCTGAGTTTGCCTAGTCGACATAACTGCCGATTGAGATAGTTTACAGGTCATGTTTATGAATACTAAGTACAAAGATCTTAGGACTCAGTAAACAGTTACCGAGCTCGGACGTAATATATCTAGTAAATTGTGTGTAAAGTTTGGAAACTCACTTACATTCGTAAGTGGACACATTTGGGAAGCGTGAAGATATTTCGTTTCAATTATTTGATCTATAAACGCAAGATCTGTTTCTATTGTCAATGATAATTTGCGATCTGCAGATTGAAGATTCGAGAAGTACACCCAATTGTATTTTTGCCCAACAATATTCCCTGTTTAGTTAACGTGACATTAAGTCATCAGCTTGTATTTGTTGTACAGGTATTATCACATCTATTGAATGATAAACAATATATCATTGTCATCACATTATGTTATTTCTCAAGTTTTATAGAATTCATAGTGGAGAGGGTCATTGTAATGTTGATATAACTTGTATCGTGTTTTATAGAATTCATAGCGGAGAGGGACATTGTAATGTTTAAATTACTTGTATCAAGTTTTATAGAATTCATAGTGGAGAGAGACATTGTAATGTTGATATAACTTGTATCGTGTTTTATAAAATTCATAGTGGAGAGGGTCATTGTAATGTTGATATAACTTGTATCAAGTTTTATAGAATTCATAGTGGAGAGAGACATTGTAATGTGAAATTACTTGTATCAAGTTTTATAGAATTCATAGTGGAGAGGGACATTGTAATGTGAAATTACTTGTATCAAGTTTTATAGAATTCATAGTGGAGAGGGACATTGTAATGTGAAATTACTTGTATCAAGTTTTATAGAATTCATAGTGGAGAGGGACATTGTAATGTTGATATAACTTGTATCAAGTTTTATAGAATTCATAGCGGAGAGGGACATTGTAATGTTGAAATTACTTACATCAAGTTTTATAGAATTCATAGCGGAGAGGGACATTGTAATGTGAAATTACTTTTATCGTGTTTTATAGAATTTATAGCGGAGAGGACATTGTAATGTTTAAATTATCAACAAGTTTTATAGAATTCATACCGGAGAACTTTTCAACAAGTTTTATAGAATACAGTATTAAATTACGTTTTATCAAGTTTTATAGGACATACAGAATTCATAGCCACGACGAGAGGGACATTTTAATGTGAAATATACTTTATCGTGTTTTATAGAATTAACCAATAGTTTTATAGAGGGACATTGTAATGTTTAAATATACTTGTATCAAGTTTAACCAATCAACATAGTTTTATAGGGACAGAAATATTAACCAATAAATTTACTAGTATCAAGTATCTATACCACGAATTAACCAATCAACAAGTTTTATAGGATACAGAAATATCTATACCACGACTATTAACATACCGGGTATATCTATACCACGACGATTAACCAATCAACAAGTTTTATTGTAATGTGAAATTACTTGTATCAAGTGTTATAGAATTCATAGCGGAGAGGGACATTGTAATGTGATTAACCAATCAACAAGTTTTATAGAATTCATAGAAATATCTATACCGGGTATGTGATTAACTTGTATCAACAAGTTTTATAGAATTTATAGAAATATCTAGAGGGTATATTGTAACGACGATTAACCAATCAACAAGTTTTATAGAATACAGAAATATCTATACCGGGTATATCTATACCACGACGATTAACCAATCAACAAGTTTTATAGAATACAGAAATATCTATACCACGACGATTAACCAATCAACAAGTTTTATAGAATACAGAAATATCTATACCACGACGATTAACCAATCAACAAGTTTTATAGGATACAGAAATATCTATACCACGACGATTAACCAATCAACAGGTTTTATAGAATACAGAAATATCAATACCGGGTATATCTATACCACGACGATTAACCAATCAACAAGTTTTATAGAATTTATACCGGGTATATGTTGATTAACCAATCAACAAGTTTTATATAGAAATATCTATAGAGGGTATATCTATACCACGACGATTAACCAATCAACAAGTTTTATAGAATACAGAAATATCTATACCGGGTATGGAACCAGGGACATTAACCAAATTACAATCAAGTTTTATAGAATTTTATAGAAATATACCACGACGATTAACCAATCAACAAGTTTTATAGAATATCTATACCACGACGATTAACTTATCAACAAGTTTTATAGAATACAGAAATATCTATACCACGACGATTAACTTATCAACAAGTTTTATAGGATACAGAAATATCTATACCACGACGATTAACCAATCAACAAGTTTTATAGAATACAGAAATATCTATACCAAGTTTTATAGAATATATCTATACCATTACAAGTTTTATAGACGATTAACCAATCAACAAGTTTTATAGGATACAGAAATATCTATACCGGGTATATCTATACCACGACGATTAACCAATCAACAAGTTTTATAGAATACAGAAATATCTATACCACGACGATTAACCAATCAACAAGTTTTATAGAATACAGAAATATCTATACCGGGTATATCTATACCACGACGATTAACCAATCAACAAGTTTTATAGGATACAGAAATATCTATACCGGGTATATCTATACCACGACGATTAACCAATCAACAAGTTTTATAGGATACAGAAATATCTATACCACGACGATTAACCAATCAACAAGTTTTATAGAATACAGAAATATATACCGGGACATTAACCATGTGAAATTACTTCAACAAGTTTTATAGAATACAGAAATATCTAAATATCTATACCACGACGATTAACCAATCAACAAGTTTTATAGAATACAGAAATATCTATACCACGACGATTAACCAATCAACAAGTTTTATAGGATACAGAAATATCTATACCACGACGATTAACCAATCAACAAGTTTTATAGGATACAGAAATATCTATACCGGGTATACCACGACGATTAACCAATCAACAGGTTTTATAGGATACAGAAATATCTATACCGGGTATATCTATACCACGACGATTAACCAATCAACAAGTTTTATAGGATACAGAAATATCTATACCACGACGATTAACTTATCAACAAGTTTTATAGAATACAGAAATATCTATACCACGACGATTAACCAATCAACAAGTTTTATAGAATACATAGCGGAGAGGGACATCTATAATGTTGACGATTAACTTAATCATCAAGTTTTATAGAATATCTATACCGGGTATATCCAGGACGATTAACCATCAACAAGTTTTATAGGATACAGAAATATCTATACCGGGTGAAATTCTATACCACTTTTTAACCAATCAACAGAATTTATAGTACAGAAGATATCTATACCACGACGATTAACCAATCAACAAGTTTTATATACAGAAATATCTATACCACGACGATTAACCAATCAACAAGTTTTATAGAAAATATCATAGCGGAGAGGGACGATTAACCAATCAACAAGTTTTATAGTTTACAGAATTATCTTACATCCGGTTAACTATAGAAGTTTTATATAGATAAGAGAGGGACATGGTAATGTGAAATTACTTACATCAAGTTTTATAGAATTCATAGCGGAGAGGACTTTGTAATGTTTAAATTACGTGTATCAAGTTTTATAGAATTCATAGCGGAGAGGGACATTGTAATGTTGAAATTACTTACATCAAGTTTTATAGAATTCATAGTGGAGAGGGACATGGTAATGTGAAATTACTTGTATCAAGTTTTATAGAATTTATAGTGGAGAGGGACATTGTATTTACTTGTATCGTAAACCATCAGTGAAATGTTTTTGAAACATTCTCTTTAAATTTAAACATCCTTTAAATTATTTCACACAGAAACCTAGATTGTGATCTCTGTTGTCATAATGACTCATACCTCATCATCATTAAGGTTTTTAATTATCTGTAACATAATTCTGTGATAAGTTTATGTAATACAACTTCAATCTTAAAACCTTTAATACAGTGTTTATGAATCACCTTTATCTCAATTTTCATCATTCATTTGGAAAAAAGTGAAATGATTTTTTTTTTGAAAAAGGTAAATTAATTTCATATACTTAAACGAAAAATATTAATTCTGTTTATATAATTAAGTTCTCAATTATATAACGTATGTTAAAAACTGTAATAATTTTCCATACTTTATCTACACGATTATGATCTTAACGTGTTTTGAAATACATTTTCAGTGTATACATAGATCAAATAAGCTGGTACGCTATGACCATAATCCGTAAAATGTCGAAACGATCGAAAAATCTTTTGAAATGCACGTGCACTTTTTTAAATATCTATATATATACTTTGTTGTTTTTATTCGGCTCTAGAACAGTTGTACAGTACTGGGATCTTCTGTTTGTCGGTGAAACACCCTTGTCGTTAGATGTCAAAATCTACTGCGCATATCCAAAACTAATATGAAATGCACGTGCGAACGTATATATATATATATATATGTACTAATAGATAAAACATCCTTTTGCATATTATTGTAGTTTCCTAATTATTTCTTTCTACATAACTAATTCAAGAACTAATTGAATCGTTTTAATTTACAGATATAATGATAAGATGGGCATCTTTCATTACAACTCGGTTCATAGGCACGCTTTCAATTTCTAAATGATAACTTTTTTTTCTTTTAATAGCAGTGGATTATTTTGTTTACTGCTATATCAAAAATGATTCATTCACATATATTATACGTATATAATGATTGATAGAATTTAACAGTACCTTTACTGATGAGATGGATTAGTAAGTTACAAAGCCTTAGTTAAATATCGACCAATATCAGATTATCGCAACGTGTATATGGGTTTGGTTAATTAAATGGTTTAGTTAGTCACCAATACATTTTCTCTCTAATTAAGCCAAATCGGCCGCTAACTTTCTCTAAATATAACCTCGTTTCAAGAAACATAAACAAGAAATCCCTGGTTTTCTCTTTTTTTCCAGAGCTTTTTTAATCCGGTTGGTTTCGAACAATAAGATACGTAAAAACACGCGATGGTGAGTCAGATAGTGGGCTAACTACATGGTGTGGAGACAGCTGACAGTGATTGAAGGGGGGTATAGCGGGGAGAGTGTCATACCAATATATATACCCTGTCAGTCTCATTAGTAACATAATGACCATCTCTAGCCCTGCCCCCCCTCCCCAAGTCCAAGACAATCCCGGGGGTATCGAACAGACAGATTACTAAGACGAACCTACTAGGATGTTTTATAGATATAGAATGTAGATAAATGTTGTTTTACTTGTATTCCGGAGACAAAATATTTATGATCATCATTGTCTATCAATGCATTAATAACGAGGTTAATTAATAACACGTTTTCCGCCATTTGTGCCAAATCACTTCGTCAGTCCAAAAGTGCCTGTCCAGTTAGGAAAATCGTGTAGAACGATGAGCGCTGAACACACATTACTTACATACTGAATGTTATCACTTTTTCTCTGTGGTCCCTTCCTAATATTTGTGATCGTCTCCACACGAAGCGATATTATCTTCCTAATTTTCGCTATAAAATGATTCACTGAAATAATAGATTATGCTTAGATTTTTGAAATGATTTCTGTGAGAATCACTGTACTGGTATTGTCTATCTGGTTTTGAAAGTCGTTTAAGTAACACACATAATGTATTTTGTCAAGTTTACACGGTCCGGTGATGAACTGCTATGGAATGTCTTTTCCAATATTCGATGCGTCATTTTTGGCAACCAAACACATTGTGAGAGACACTATCAGATGCTTGAATCCTCATCAACACACATAATATTACGCCATCGATCCATTGTTTGAATCGTTCTCTATCGGGTTATATTTCATGACGGTATAAAACGGTTTGAAATGCTGTCCTCGTCTCGGTTTTAACAGCAACAAGACACTTTCAGAAGTTTTCAAACAATTTTGTACAATTTGCTCATTTAGCATTACACCAATACCAAGTGAACACAATTGTAACAACGGGAATATTTGATCCCTGATGAATTCCTTACTATTAGTGAGCTTAATAAAAAGGTTGGGATGTAGGGGTGGGGCTTTGGGGCGTGTCTACTCACCGAACTGCCGAGGTCCCGGGAGTAACGTCGGGTCATGCTATATGATTAAGTCCTCTTCGGGGGTGGGACGGAGGGGCCAAGTTACAAACGTCCCTGTCACATATTCGTGTCCACTACTAATGGCTTCCCTCCGTTCTCCGTCCCCCTCCCGGCAGTTTGTCAGCACGTGTGGGTCAGATGCACGAGATTTACACGTAGATATACAGTGGGGAGACAAACACGCGAACTCCGTTATGGCACGGCACCAGTCTAACACACCCTAACTCTATGTACACAGACTGAAGAGTGAAGCTCGTGTTACAGGCACGTGCCTACACTATACATTTACCATCACATTCAAATTCACAAAAATTGATAAGTTTTTTTGGCGTAAAGTCTACTTGAATAACTTTCAAAATGTTCACTCTGGCGCAGGTTTCTTGTATAATAGCTTCAGAAGCTGGCTGGGATAGCGACTCCCGGCGCGAACTCGGAACGGAATGCTACCGCAAGATAAGCACACTCCATTGAAGATACAAGGTATATAGCATCAGGCTCGCGTTATGATCACGTATCAGCTGATAGGCTCCATCTTTTCCTCTCGCGCATTCGTGTGTCAGTAGTTCTGAACATACATCCTTACCACTGACAGTTCTCAGTTAAATTGTAAATTGTGAAAAATTTCCGTCCCAGGAATAAAACAGACTTTCCGGGCAAGTTTGTTTGGTGCTGTAAGACACTGGCAGTGAAAACATTTGGCTGTGTCTGACACAAGGAGGATACCTGCGATTTAGGGGTAAAGGGGGGAACCGACAGCCTAGCACTAATTAGCCAGTATTGTGAGCCCTGTGCTGTTCGGGAGGGGGTCATTACCGCCGAGCATCACGCTGAGTTTGATGTATAATTAACATATCACAAGTAAGCTTTTATTACGAGGAGATACGCACAGTGCGTTGGTTGTTGTAGGTACCGACCCATAAAAACTGTTGGATGGCACTCTCCCACCACCCATCTCGATAGTATTAAATATACGGAAAGTGAAACTAAATCCTACATTTAGTACATGTACGTCGCTTAAGACTACCAAACGTCAGTTTATCAGATATCAATTAACTCATACAGATAAGTTTTCCAGGCACTCTCATCTTTTTATCGTCACACCATTATCTATTGGAACAGTTGAAGAAGTTCGTGTTTCAAGGAGACTGGTCAACGACGGAGATGAGTGCATGACGTGTAGGTGTTAGGGAGAATATGGCATGCGTGGATTAACTCAATAAAGAGGCTTTCTTCTTCCCTTTAAACAAACTCAAAAGACGCGAAGAAAAACTAACGACAATATTTATGGAATATTTTGTGATTGTTGATGCGTGGATGCCGACCTCTGTTCGAATACCCAGATGAAAGCATCCAGCTGGCCCGCCATTTTTTCTTAACGTCTGGTCTATCTGCACTTTCATTCATGATTGTTTATGAGGTCTACCGTAAGTAGGCACGAGGTTACGTCACCCTTATCTGTGTACATGGTATAATCTACATCATGAAAATGAATCCGGAAGTGGGCACAGTAGGAGACAAAAAGAAACGTGAATTTAGACTGTGTATCTAAGTTTGAGAATTGGTCGGAAACTTCTCTCTGTAACGTTTTGCTCGTGATAACTTGACTTGTCAACCCACTTTAATTTCTAAATTCAGAGCAATGAGATAAGACAGCGGCGGGTTTCAGATTAAGATTTAGACGAATTTTCAAATAGGTTTCTGGATCCATTTCTTACTACATTGTGTATATGTATCATCGATAAGAAGACATGTTATGATAACATGCCCAAAGGATACGGTGCATCGCCATTAAAATCTGAGTCTTTGGAATGTTTTAATTACATAACACTGAAAAGAAATCCTTAATTTTACTTATTTACAACTGCTATCAGAAAACATATTTAGAGGACCAAGTTGTAGTCGTTTGTTGGGAGAATTTTACACGTAGCTTGGTTTTTTGCGTGTTTGTTGCAGGAGTATAGACTGTTTATCATAAAGCACATTCTTCATTCCTCTACATTGTTGCACTCTCAGTTTGTTCAAAGTTTTCTAGACGGCTGACTTTCTTATATATAGTACTCTAGCTCCCCAATCGGAAAAGCGCACGAGTATGAAAACGTTACCGCCATCTCCAAAATTAAAATGACTTACATGCGAACAAGATAGATATAGTTTTAGACAAAGGATCTAACACTCTACAAAGAGCTACAACAACCATTACAATTATTTAATGATTATATGAGATCGCGAAAGCGTTCAAACAAAGAAAAAATACAATAAATACCAAGTTGTCGCTACTGAAAAATAATGATAACTACCTAAGACGAAATAAAAGAGAGAGAGGGGGGAGGGGGGAAGGTGGGGGAGAGAGGGAGAGAGAGAGGGGGGGGGAGAGAGAGAGAGAGAGAGAGAGAGAGAGAGAGAGAGAGAGAGAGAGAGAGAGAGAGAGAGAGAGAGAGAGAGAGAGAGAGAGAGAGAGAGAGAGAGAGAGAGAGAGAGAGAGAGACAGAGACAGAGACAGAGAGAGAGAGAGAGAGAGAGAGAGAGAGAGAGAGAGATGTCTGGTGGCTTATCCCCGCAATAACGGTCACTTGAATTACAATGAAATTGCACGAAATGCCAAGAAAAATGAATTGTATTAAATGTCCTCACATACTATTCACTACCTCAAAAGTGCCCGCAAAATCATATTTTCGTCGTCGCTCTCCCTCTTAGCTATATGAGGACATTTCATTTACTTTCTATGATGTCCTCATAGTCATGGAGATAAATATATGTCACAAAGCATGTGTACGAAATTAAAAACTAACCCAGATTTACTCAATATTCAGGAGAGATTAAGTTTGGTTGAGGAATGATATACACTCGTTACTACCATATCTATGATATTGCTGTTAGAAATGGGAGCCCTCGGAACGTCTTTGTGAAACCCATGTCCCCACAGTTACGGTGAAACCAGACAGGGAGAGATATTTTTCTTTTTGGACATTTTATTAAATGATCATATTAAGTAAACAGGGTCATATTTCAATGTGCAGCAGGAAGGAGCGGTTTCGATAAACTATATTCTTCAACCGCGATGACTTCATTACAGATACCAAATGGCAGGGGTGTAACTTGGCTACTGCCAAACACCGAAGACAAACAGCTTTTATGGACGCGTTTGGTATGGGATCCTAGATAGAAATATGCCTATTGCAAAGCCTTTTGGTTCTTGTAAAGACTTCTTTAGGGGTGTATTCTTGTATAAGAGGAGTATTGTCTTCAGTTATCAAGACTTTTTCAGAAGTTTGTCTCTTGGTAAACAATTAATGGAATCGATCACGAATTAAACCCTGATAAACAGAATCGTTGCTGACAAGTAGAAAAAAGCCGATAAGAATAGCATGGTCTTATCAGAATGATATTGGTAGAATTAAAATCCATCTTCGGAAAAAAAATGGAAAGGTTTGTATGGAAAAGTTACATGGAAAACCGGACCAATATTGATTCGTCAAAACGCCCAAACACACTGTAAGGAACGAAGAAAGCATCGTCAAGACTAGCTGTACTAAATAAACACAGAAACACACTGTAAGGAATTAAATACAGAAGAAAGTAACGTCAAGACTAGCTGTACTAAATAAACACAGAAACACACTGTAAGGAATTAAATACAGAAGAAAGTAACGTCAAGACTAGCTGTACTAAATAAACACAGAAACACACTGTAAGGAATTAAATACAGAAGAAAGTAACGTCAAGACTAGCTGTACTAAATAAACACAGAAACACACTGTAAGACTTTAAATTTCGAAGAGAATATCGTCAAGACTAGCTGTACAAAATAAACGCCGAAACTGGGGTCAGTATTCCAAGACAATAGATGGTGATTTACTAATACGTAGTAATTACTGTTAGAATATACGTATTGTGTATGTCTGATATGTACCCACACATGTTAATAGGGTTGAAGAATGTGTGTAGTAATTGATTATCAACGTAAACAGCACATACGTCATATGTGTCTGTATACAATATCATCGCCACAGGTAGATAATCTACCTATTAAATGTTGTTGTTATTTAATCAGTAAAGCAGTGCATTGTTCGAAACAAGAAGTATTTACTTGTGTATAACCTTCTATCAAGCCCTAGACTCGTCTTTTAATCAGAAAGAATTTCTCTCTATGTATTAACCTTGTAGTTAATTAGATAAACTAATTAGAAGAAAACATAGATATTTCCCGCTCGGAAACGTTTAACATGATTTCGTTTTCAATCGCTAGATTAAGAACAAGTTTATTCACAACAATTTTCCTATCTAGTTTGACGAATAAGTTATGTATATTGTGATACATAAACATCCCATCTTGGTAACTTCGTAGGATTAATTACTTAGTTAACCGTATAATGAGTCCCCGTGTGATGTGTAGACGGACACTGATCTTACTCGAGTCCCCGTGTGATGTATAGACGGACACTGATCTTACTCGAGTCCCCGTGTGATGTGTAGACGGACACTGATCTTACTCGAGTCCCCGTGTGATGTGTAGACGGACACTGATTTTTCTCGAGTTCACGTATAAGGTGAAGACGGACACTGATTTTACTCGAGTCCCCGTGTGATGTGTAGACGGACACTGATTTTACTCGAGTTCACGTATAAGGTGAAGACGGACACTGATTTTACTCGAGTCCCCGTGTGATGTGTAGACGGACGTTGATTTTACTCGAGTTCACGTATAAGGTGAAGACGGACACTGATTTTACTCGAGTCCCCGTGTGATGTGTAGACGGACAATGATTTTACTCGAGTTCACGTATAAGGTGAAGACGGACACTGATTTTACTCGAGTCCCCGTGTGATGTGTAGACGGACGTTGATTTTACTCGAGTTCACGTATAAGGTGAAGACGGACACTGATCTTACTCGAGTCCACGTGTGATGTGTAGACGGACACTGATCTTACTCGAGTCCGCGTGTGATGTGTAGACGGACACTGATTTACTTCAGTTCATGTATAAGGTGAAGACGGACACTGATTTTACGCGAGTCCCCGTGTGATGTGTAGACGGACACTGATTTTACTCGACTTCACGTATAAGGTGAAGACGGACACTGATTTTACGCGAGTCCCCGTGTGATGTGTAGACGGACACTGATTTTACTCGACTTCACGTATAAGGTGAAGACGGACACTGATTTTACTCGAGTCCCCGTGTGATGTGTAGACGGACGTTGATTT